TCTGTTTTTTTTAATGGGGGGGTACCCCCTGACACCCACCCCCGCCCAGCCCATCCACCCCCTCAGCACCCCTCCGGAAGGCCAAGTACGGACGGCCCGAAGTCCGTACGTACGGGCCGTACGGGCGCCAGGGGGCCCGTACGTACGGACGGGCCGTATTCGTACCGCGGTATACACTGATACATGTTTGTCTCCTTGCATCTCTTTCTGTCACAGCTCCAATGATTTTTCTGTGTGGACAAATTACGGTTCGAAGCTGTGTCGTGGGAAATCTTTTGTTCAATGCCATTTGCATGCGTTGGTTTATTTTTCGAGCATACACACATCGAATGTTTGAATTGTGAACGGTTTTGTTCATTGTTTTATGAAATGCGCATTTTGTTTATTTGCAGACTGCCATTCCGCAGCGCAACAAACCTTGTGATCGATATATGTATTGATGAGCACACCATAACTATATTCCTTCGACCGAACAATCCATCAATCAATCAATCAGTCAATCAATCAATCAATTGATCAATTAATCAACGAATCAATCGATCATTCAAACATTCCATCACCGAATCAATCGATCACGGAATCAATTGATCAACCATCCACTCGATTAATCCATCAGTCATTCAATCATTTGATCATTCAATCATTTGATCATTCAATCATTCGATCAATCAATCTATCAGTGGCAATCAATGGATCGAACGATCGAACAATCACTCAATTAATGCAGCAATCAATCAATCAATCAATCAGTCAATCAATCAATCAATCAATCAATCAATCAATCAATCAATCAATCAATTGATCGGCCAATCAATCAATCAATCAATCAATCAATCGATCGATCGACCAATCAATCTATCGATCAATCAAATCAATCAATCAGTCAGTCCATCGACAAACCGATCAACCCATCAATAGAGCAGTCGATCAACTGATCAGTCGATGAGATAGTCAATCAAGTCTGCGAAGAAACCCTTTCTACCAAGAGAGAGGATGATTGCAATTAAAGAAACAAAACAAAAAATAACAGCAACAACAAAAAAAATCACAAAATTTCGCAGGTCGTTTATATTATTTGCGAGAAAACACTGTAAACAACGCATACACAATCGCACACGTGGACTCTACTGATGTTGTTAAGGTATTTGTCAAAAGGTGCTATTGATTTCATGACCTTCATTTACAACTACAAATGTTGTCACTGTTGTGCAAAGACATAACGGAAGGACAAAGTTTCCGACCACCTCCGCAGTCGGCTGTCACATGAATACGCTGCAGTAGGCGACGTGTCACAATACACAACTACAAGAATAAAAACAAGTCGGCGCTCCATCCACGCAAGCACAATGGCGAACGAACAGACCACCACACCGCCCGTCTAGGAAAGAGACCGAACCTAGCGGACTAAGGTGAAAGCGCTTCACGATAACTACCTCATACCTACCCCCCCCCCCCCCCCCCCCCCCCCCATTCACGAACTAAGACGACGGGCGTGCCGCAGAAGACTGCGGATTTTTCCAGTCCATGGCCAAAGAAGGATGGCACGGCGTGCAGGACTGGCAACTCCACCACTTCCACGACCCTTCTTCGTCATCGCCTCGGTCCTCCTTCCGGTCGCCATTGAAAGGTCCAATCCCCATCCGATCCATCCTCGCCGCGACGTCAGGGTCCGCCAAACCAGCGTGGTAGTTGAGCCTCACTCCACATGAAGCCCGCTTCGGGATGTAGTTGGAATACGCACCCATCATCAAGGGCGGCTTCGCGAGGCGAGTCAGAACTGCATTTGCGGACTGGAGTATATACCTGTGCTAGCTAAAGGACTGCGACCCTACCGCCATGAGCGTAGGCTTCGCCACGAGCTGCGAGTAGTACGACGCCTCTTCGTGAGAGCGCATGTCGTCCCCTCCCATGTGCATGATCCCCATGCACGCGATGAGAAGCAGGCGGAAGGCATCTTTCTGTTGTTAGACCATTGGCTGTCTCGGAGTGCATCCTGAAAGAAGGACGCCAAACGAAAAACTGTGGACTCTTGATGGGAAACCATGTCATCGTCCTCAGGCTTGTCCTCAATGTAGGCCCCTGTGTACCAATGGAATGTCCATCTCGGAGCGAGCGCGTGGTAAACAACATTAGGCGACACTACCCTCTACCACTCCACGCTCTGCCAAACTGCTGTCGTGAGATCTGTCGGGTAATCAGCGGTGGCACATGACTCGGCGCAGGCGAAACCGTCGGATCTTGAAGACGACCTGAAGATCCACCCGTGGATGAAGCCCATAACGACGTTCTCCGTCCTTCTCGCTCGTCCAAGGACCGTGCCTCGCTGCGCAGAATCTTGGATTCGCAAACACGGAACGTCGAGGGATGGCATGATGAGGCCACGTGGTGAGGTGGCGCGTGCAAATCCATTGACGATTGCACAGTAATAGTCTGTGCAATCGTGCACAGCGTCCGCGATCAGGCGAACAGGTCCACTTCCCCAGAATATCTTCCCGTCTGTCCACAACTTCGACTTCGCCTCCAACTCCTCCTACCGCGTTTTTTTCTTCCTCATGCGAAGTGACTCGTCGTCCTCGTCATCCGGTCGCAGAGTGCCATCCCTCCTCTCGTCTTTCCTTCCCGCCTCATCAAGCCTCCGTTCTTCTCGCCTTTCCCCCGCAGTGGTGCTCGGGCAATGGACATTGGACAACACCGCTTCCTGCATGTGGCAACGAGACGACATCCCTCGACGACCCGTCGACCATGTTAATGTTCAACGGCTCCACGTGGCACGCTTATGGCACATGAACGGGTCCTTTTTCTGCACGTTCAACAGTGGACACGATCGTCGCCGTTGAAGTCACAAACTGTTGTGGTGCTGACTCGCTGAATCAGATGACGATCCCTTGAGAGCGCAGGCTTCCACTTCCACCACCATGAGCAATTCTTGGCACACTAAGGGCAGTTAGTCCTTGAAAATGCTCCCTGCCTATGCCATCTCTCCCAAATCCTAGCATCGGCGTCCCCGTCAAACGGATCTCCACGGCTGAGACATCTTCTCCCCCCTGGCCCCCATCACACCCTTTGATCCATCACCGCACGACCTTTTCGACTTCGGGCCCGCCTTCGTCGGATCCGCTGTCTCGCCTTTTCAACTGGGACTATCCACGTGGCGCCATGCGCTAACGATCGATCTCGCCCATCCTACAAATGAATGCAGTGTGAGTCTGCCACGTGGCGTGGACGATGGCGAACAGACAGATCATGAAGCGCCTGCGTACTATGCCACCGATGGACGCGCCCGTGAGGATAGCGCAGGTGTATAGTGACAGCGGGGACAATGAGCTCCTAGCAACGTGGAAGACAGCCCACAGGTGAAACAAGGAATTAACACCTATGAAGCGTAGGACATGTGCAGCAGCAGACTGGCACTGACCTTTATACTGCTTGAACAGAGCATCCCCTGCCCCAACGCACTCCCGACGTGACGGCTTGAACTTCCTACTTTAAAAAACCGAACAAAAGTATATATATATATATATATATATATATACAGGGTAACCGGCGTTTGGGACGGGCCGAACGCCCGAACCCGAACGCCCGAACGTATGGGACCCCTTGGGGATGCGCTCGGCCGTTCGGGCCGAACGCGGACCCAAAAAAAAAAAAAAAAAAAAAAAAAAAAAAAAAAAAAAAAAAAAAAAGTCATCAAAAAAATCTGAAAACAAGATATGTTATGGAGAAAAATAAATTAAACAAGATTTGCCTGAGCGTTACGTCCGAATTCCTTACCGAATTTGAAATAAAAATAAAATACGGAAAACAAATGCTAATAATAAAAATAAATAAAAATAAAAAGAGAATTAAATTTAGTGAGTGCGCGAGCATGTTTTCGACACCGCCATCTTTGGCGATTTTTCATTTTTTTTTGGGCATAGATAAATGCCCTGAAAATTTAAAGATGTGTACTTCACATAATACAAAACCCACTAAAAACGTTTAAAAAAATAATAAAATTGTTTAGACCCCAAACTAAAGTGAAAACAAAAAGTAAAAAGTAAAAAAATACGTGGGCGAGCACGTTTTGACACGGCCATCTTTGGCGATTTTTAATTCTTATTTGGCGTGGCCAAATGACTTGAAAATTTACAGGCATGTACCTAACGTCAAGAAGAACTCACAAAAAAAATTCAAAAAAAAATTATTATTTTTGGGCCCCGAAATAAGTTTTGGCGGGGGCCGAACGCCGTCAGGTTTGGACCCCGTACGGGACCCCGAACGCCCGTACGTACGGAGGTCTGCCTGGGGACCTCCGTACGTACGGGCTGGTGACCCTGTATATATATATATATATCTATTTGTGACGATATATATATATATATGTATATGTATACATATATATATATATATATATATATATATCATGGGCCACAACCGTTCAACTATGAGAGCAATCCAACCCTCGACTACGCTATGAACCACACCCTTTGAAGGAAGACGTGCAGACTCAACACCATAATTGCGGCACCGACGAAAAGTGAGGGATGCAATGTCAACACATGCATTGGCATGACGACCGACCGCAGAGCTGAGGCGGCATCAGGACCTGTCCCTGATGTCTTTCGCAATCTCCATCAACGCAGTGCACATCATCTTGCTCTCCTCGTTGGACGCCTCATAGTGCCGCTTCTTGGCGTCGACCTCGCGCTCGAGTCTGTCGCATTGCAGCTCCAGGATGGAACACTGCTGCTTGCTTGCCCCCTCCACATTGTCCGCCATCAATGCACCGTGCTTCTCCATGACTTCGACGATGTTGTTGATCGTTTGTTGGCGCATGATCTTCCTCTTGCCAGCGCCGCCCGTGCTGCCTGCACCGAACCTAGACCCCCGCGCCGACCCTCCATCTCCGTCGTTGTCATCACCGGTGTCTCCCTCGGCGACGGATTCTCCTTCAACCGATGGCGGACGGTGCATGTCCCCCGACATCTCCACTTCTCCACAGGCGCTCGTGTCGGTGAGGTTGTCAGGGTAGATGGTTTTATTGCCTTGAGAGATCTTATCGATCCCAAGGTACACTTGCTCATCCATTCAGAAGTTGAATCCCTCTTCCGTTCTCGACGCAGACGTTAAGTTTAAGAAGTTTTTCCCCCGGGAGATGTTCTAGTATCGTTGCACCTTCTTATACGATTGGAAGAGGTTATTGCACTTCTTCCAAATGTCATCGGTCGTCCTCTTCACGCACACCTCCACCAAACGTTTCTGCAGGTCCTGCAGCTTCCATTCCTTGTTGTGCACGCGCCCGTCGTTGTGCGACATTCCAATGAAATGAGCTTGCTGATCCCGCTTCGCCCGAGCGAGCTTTAGCATCTCCTCAACATTCCATGTCGGATGCTTGCCACCCTTGTCGCCTGCGGGAGCCTTCGATATTCGACCACCACGGGATCCCTGATTCTGTTGACACCCGCATCCACCCCTCCCTCTACGACCTACACCCAGGGGTCGAATCTCCAACTCCTCCGCATCGTCCGCTTCGTCCTCGCAATAAAAATATGAAGATTCGTCACCAGTCGCCCTCCGGGTGTCCTCCGCATCGGCATCGCTTGCAACACGCATCGTCCACACCCCGTTCGTTATGTTCTCAACAGTCGGTCCACGCATCTGTTGGTGACAGGACTCCCACACGTGCTTGCCAATTTCTTCTGGCATGGTAGTGCTCGTGTTCGCCGCTGGTGCGGCCACCCTTCGACGTGGTGGGGGTGAGGGCGTTGCCGAGTGGGGGGGGTAACACTGTCATCACCTTGTCGCCAGATGTTCCCGCGCCTCGAAAAAAGGAGGGCGCCGAACGACACTCATTTGCACTGCCACTCACCAAACACGACCTTTCACCACGCCTCGCCACTCTCGCTCCATGCACAGACGTTTGTCCGACAGTCATGGCAGCGACGTGGCTCGATGTACAAGGGTTCGTAACTGGTGCAGCAGTTCCCCTTGACAAACCGAAATCCAAGTCCACAATCGATACCCTCCTTCAGCATTGCCGAGAATGATTGGCGAACTCTCTGCCTCCCTTTGTCCACAATGGCTCCCCATCCAGTCCTGCGTAGATCCGCTCCCCAGAGGCAGAGTGTAGGACACATCCTCCAGCCATTCCTCTTTCGGATCCACTGGTAACGGCTGCTCCTGTGGTGCCAGATGATTGTACAATGTGGGGTCATATGCGAGTGTACGATGCATCGCTACCGCCGGGTTTGGAGTGGCGAAGTCGATCGCATGTTTGTGCTGTTCGCTGGAGGTTTCCCGCTTTTCCATCGTCGCCTTCCTCGCCGTGCATCATTTTCGTCTGCTCCCTGGACCCTGCACGACGACACACACGCACAGCAAGACCACAAGGAGCAGGAGAAGAGTGGCCAGCAGCAGGAGCGGGACCCACCGGAGCGCATCTGGCATGAATCGCACCAGGCAAGAAATGCATCGACCAAAGCTTCCTCTTGTGCGCCTGTCAATGCCCGATAATGCACGCTGCCAAGGAGAACTGCAGTTTGTCGGCACTTCTCACACGTTGGTGATGAAAAAATATAAAAAGTCGACCGTTGGACACCACGCTCGACGACACGCACGAGGAGAAGCCTGCCACATGAACCACCTCGGAGCTGAAGAACCACCCCCACGCCTTTACGCGCCAACAATAACGACACAATGTCGTTGGGGGCCCGTCCCCTACTGGAGGCCGGTGGTGTCCGCCCGTCTGAACCACAGATGACCTGTGCACCATGAAAAACTCCAAATTTTGGTGTCGATGTGACGAACTATCTTTTGTAACCGCACGACTTCCTGCGGGAGGCTGCTGTGGGGAAACGGGAGGGCTTTGATGGGTGACGGAGCGTAAGCAGGGGTCGGTTGGGCAAGTTGTATGGATGCCCTCACTTCTTTTTCGATTTTGTTGGAGCTCGTCGGGCTGGTGCTGGGAAAGTCCCGCGCCGACGATTGAGTGACCACAACAGAAAAACTTTCCCGAATTAAATATTCATTCTATAGTAAAATTACCTTCAAAATTTTAAATTTTCATTCCATCTTAAAAAATGTCATTTCAATTTTAAAAGTTTCCGTCGTACTTGAGAACTTTCATTCCAAGAATGGGGTATCCCTTCTTATTTAGACTGCATGCTAGAGATGGAATGAAAGTCTGGATGAGTTCATGAAATATTTTAATTGGACTGTCAATCTAAGTAAGGATTTTTAGTCCTAAATAGGTTGATTCAATCTAAATTACAAGATATTTGTTGTAGTAGAATGAAAGTTTAATTAAAACATTTCATAAACTCGTCCAGACTTCCATTCCATCTTGAATAAATAGATGTAGTTGGAAAGGAAAGCTCATATTTAGACGGGAACTTATCAAATAAAACTGAAAATTTTAGAATTTGACAAACATTGGAATGATAATTTATAAATATGAAGGATTTTTTTTTTATGGAATGTTTTTTCAACTTCCATTTCTTGCGGGAATTTTTCTGCTACACACCCTAACGAGCGCGAGAAATAACGGTTGCAATAGCTTCTTTCTTGTTCTGCTAAAAACAACAGGAATTTTGGCGAGATTAGCGCGGGGGAATTTTCGTTTTTAAATTCGAACTAATGTCGAGCCCCCGCAGACTCTCAGAATTGTTTTTCTTTCGGAATTTTCTTTTGCAATAAGGATTTAGACTAGGAATTTAGGCACCTTGTAATTTGGCTGCACGACGCTTCTTGCTTGCACGCGCCGTGCCTCGACAAGATCTGGGCTATGATTTCCATATGCGCCTTAATCCTATGCGTAACTGTAGTCTTTGGCGGGCGCAAGCGCAACTGTAATCTTCTTGTTCTTGATGACCTTTCTCTTGACTTCTTTCCTGCCTCGTCTTCGCATGTACACTCTCTTCCTCTGTTCTAAGTGGTTCCCACGTTTGCATGCCCGGATCGATGCGCGTAGAGTGGCTTCGTCCCCCTCGCCGCGGCCTGGACATGCATACGTAGACACTTCCTCTTTTCTTTTTCTCATCACTTGGGGCTAATCCCATATCCCTCGTGCAAGCATGCATGCTATAAATTTCGCAAGCGCGATACGTTCGCTCTCTAAGAATCTCGAGGTTAGCGCGATCAGTGAGGGTCGACTAACGAGCAAGTTTGGAAGGTGAGTGAGTATGAGAGTTGGGCGATCCGACGAGCTAGTGTCGAGTATGTGGGGTTGACGTGCGGGGCCACAACGGACTGTGGCGCACGGGCGAACCTGGCTTGCATGCTTGGACCAAGCGGGGTGACAACTCTGTGTTGATACGCGGTGACAGACTGCGGGTATCGTGGTGTTGATGGGCGGCGACGGACTGCCCGCAACGGAAAGAGAGGAGACGGATCGGGATGGTGTCTTTTCCTTTTGTTTCTTCTTCTTCCAACCTTCCTGTATAAATTTTGGATTTCCGCCTTGGCTTATTTTGTTGTGGCAACTTCGGATTTTCTCTGTGAATTATTTTGCATTTTGGTGTGCGTCATTATTTGTTTTCCACTCTAGTAGTTTTGCATGGTTGACAGTCCGATGAATGCTTGTACATTCTCACCCTCTGTTTGCAACGTGATTGCCCTTCTCAATTTCTTGCAAGATGATCGGTGGTTTCTGTTTGAATGCATGTCGTCTTTCCTTTCGATCTAAGATACGCACTCTTGTCCGAGTCGATTCCTCATCGTCGCTAAAAACGAATGAGTTTGATGAATGCATGAGTGAGAACTTTGGGCGTAATGGTATAACAAATATGTGTACGCAGAGGTCGCGATTGTACGGACCCGTGATTTATTGTTCGCAGTTGACTATCCGGGAGGGACTGAGGGGTCGCGCATGACTTGCGCCTTAGGAAGAGGGGGGGCAATGATGATGGGTACTAGAGAGTGACAAAATTTGAATTAAGCTAACGCAGATTGCAACTTCTGATCGGCCATCACCTACGCCCACTCCTGCTCCTCCGGAACCAGCCCCTCACTTGGTCGTGAGCAGATCCTGTGCACGCAAGTGTAAGCCCGACCGAAGGGGACGGTGCCTACACGTGTGTCTGTAAGCGCTGCGCGTGGGCCATGACAGTGTTTTCACCGGATTGACAGGATGTTTCGCATTACGGACTGAGAAAGTTTGCGGGACCCCGAATAATCAGAAATATTGGGAACGAAAGAACGTGTACTTTCTCGCTCAGCCCCGCCCTGATCCTCCGAGATTCCCCTACCAACGAGGAAACGAACCAGTGTGCGATTGGGATATAGGAAGGGCATTGGACGCCGTTCCTTACGCAGCCTAATTTCCCGAGTCCCACACGAGCCACGTCTTCTCAGAGCATGGGGTCGTCGTCCTTATAACGCACTGCCCACCGTACCGAGTGGTGCTGCCTTTCCATTACCTCACCGTCATCCCGTGGCACGCTATCCCTCCCTATTGGCCTCGAACCCCTTGTTCTGAGTGCCAGCGAGACAACAAGTACCAAGCCTTGGGGTTCATTCGCCGAACCCGAACGGAGTTTGAGAGACGGGCATACAACCTCCAGTTGAGCCCCTCGTCGTCTGATTCTGAAGTTTGTAGCGATCAGCGACAACAGTTGATCGGACAACGCGATACACATAGCATGCACCCTGTCCATCAGGTCCGCGACCGACCACAAAGGCGAAGCCAGAGGAGATGGTCATTCCCATCTCTCGGGCCTAAGGCATACGAAACATGCTTGAGATCGACGACAGGGGACTCTGTTTGAGAATGCAAAAGTGTCTAAATCTGCTAACAACGTGATTAAGATAGAGCTCTTATCCCCGGGATACGCTGCGCAGGCCATCTGCCTTATGTTGCACGACGTCTGCAGCTTTCATTTCTTTACACTAAGTCTGAGAGGCGGTCTATTTGCTCGAAAAACCAGAAACGCCGCGCGAACACTTTCCCTTTCGCGCTTTTACCCCCGAAACTTACCACACGAGATCTCAGTTTTGTTCTGGGACTCCACCCCCACTTTCCTAAGATCCTTGGCACACCCCCTTTTTCGCACTTTCGGGCCCCCATCCCAGTCCGATCAGGGAGTCGCGTTGGGCGTGAGGTTAGGGCATCACAGTCCCTTAACACTCTCTTGGGTCTAAGCATCCTATACGTGGATCTGACGGATAGAGTGTTTAGGTGGAGTCTTTTACTGGTCGCCGCTGCTGCCCCCGGGCCGTCTGCCATTGCCATTCTTCGGGGTCAATAGTCAGCTCGTTTATCGGTGTTCGGGGAAGAAAGACTGTAATATCATGTCACTCCCGCAGCATTCGTACGCGGAACACTCGACTTTCTCCCACCACTCAAAGGGATTGCGAGAGCCGTGAAGCCTCCCCCTTGGCCCGATTGTGTAGTATTCCACCAAAACATCCGATATCCGCACCATGTGAATCTGGCATATTCGTGTCATGTCCCCTGAAAGAGCCACCCAGTCTTCTGCCTCCAAGGTGAGGCCATGTTTGAGCACCCTGTACCAGGCCAGAGGGATTGCTTTGATGATCGTTTCCAGGTGCCTCTCCGTATGACGACAGTACCTCAGGCTGATGGTACCTTGCAACTAGGATGCTGTTTTCCAGTCCTTCCTCCCCTAGTCCCATAGATTCTAACTTCAGTTCGAAGTGTTTTTGCCAAGCATCCTATCACTGAGGGGATCCAACGAAATACCGCATCTTTCAGGGGCATAGGTCTTGGACTAAATTCATTTTTATTTTTTTTACAAACAACCCGAGCGGCTGATAGGATTGCTGATAAGAGCACACACCTCTAGCACCATCGGGGAAGCTTCAACTATTGCTGGGGAGCAACACCTGCTGGAAACCGGGTCCAAT